GTTTTTCGGTATCCCAAGCAAGGCAGTAAGTGTTTCCCTGGAAAGACACCATCTGATCCTCGCATCTACAAGCCCGTCGTCTAACGCTATCACCATCAAGAATCCTCCAAGAATCAGTGTCAAAATCGTATATTTCCGAATCTAGGTCATTAATACCATTATAGAAGCTCAATACTTTGTAGCTCCTAGTATTGGATCTCTTGTCTTGATAGTATCCCAGAGCAAACTCGATGCATATCTTGCCACCGGGTTCGATCCACCTGGTTTGACCAGTAAACGGGTTCCAAACCACGAATCTAGGTTCTGGTTTCTTGGAGGTGCATAGCAACAAGCCGTCGCAATGAAACACTTGAGCTACATCTAATTGGAAGGCTGAGTTTCTAGAACGCGGATCGAGTAGGCTAAGCTCAGCTTTAACCTCTACGGATGGAGGATGTCCGTCAAGATTCACGCTCATCGGACACACCCTCATCTGCCTCATCAACATGAGACACATAAACTGCTTTACGGCTTTAACAGAGTGTTTTTTTCAAGAATCTATTGTCGTTGAATAAACGGTCCCATTGTTTGCAAGTAGATCGTACCCGCTTCACAGATGTGGCCGGAACGCGACAGAGTATCTCCTCTACCAAATCCCCTGGAAGTTCTCTGAATTTCGTCATTGATCGAGCTCGACCTCTCAAGAAAGAAAACGGGAAAAGATAGAGAACGAACGACACTAAACCGCGCGGCAAATGCTGTCTCTTTTTATAGTTTAGGGTTTTGCTTTTCATCGTTCCTTTTCACTCATTAACCGAAAGAGCATGTACAAACAACATGTACCATCTACTGGTTAAGCTCAATTAATTTTGTATAAGGACTAAGCCGGATCTCCCCGTTAATTCTAGGGCTTTGATGATCCTCCTCATACTGTACTTGAAATGGTCACTTCTTATCTTTATTCATTCAGCTGTGATAAATAACAAACATAAGTTTTTTTTTTTTTTTTTTTTTTTTTTTTTTTTTTTGGGTAAATGGAGTTATTAATAATTTCACTCTAGGGAATACCTAGACCAACAAGGTAGCTCTTCATCAAGTAGGAACTAAACATAAGTTTTTAACAGAATCCATGTCGATACATTCCGAATCTTTATTCATACTTAAAAGAAGAAACTACATGGATTTGTGAAATTTTGACTAACGGGTTTTAAGTCAATAACCTAGACATTACTACAATTACAAAAATTGGATGTCTGTGCTAAGAGATGTAGTGAAATGAACATAGGAGTTGTTCTAATTTTAACAAAGCTTGTTTTAGCTAGTCTCATAACTTCTCTTTTATTTTGTGAAATATGTTTTCGACATTAGTACACATACCTTAATTACTAGTTTCCCTTAGACTTATACTGAGTTTATACCATATAATAGAAGATAGAACCTAAATAAAGCAATTGAAACTTAAAAGTGATGAGGAGACGCTCTTAGCAGTGCAAAACAAACGAACAAAACTGTACAAGCTGAAAGGCAACCATGAAACAAAACGAAGTACTTTGGAAACAAGAAATAGAATCGCCAAAGAGTTTTATCACATCCTCTTCACATCAATGTCAAATATAAAATTTATACGAACAATATCAAGCATAAATGTTTTTAACCAATAATAAAAAAAAAAGTAAAACACTCTCCAGAGAATCTTGTATATCCCCGTTCTTCATACGTCTTTTGTAATGCTTATGAGAAAAGTGTTTCCCATTACTGTTTTTAGGAAAGCTATAATCATGAGATAGCCGTGCTAGAGGACCCTTGTCAACCAAAAAGTCCCTCAACCTTTGATCAGTGTTTTCCCAATTTGCAGGATGCAAGATATCAACAAAAGGATTCTGTTCTTTGAAATACATACCCTCTGCACTTTGATTGATATCCTCACCATCTTTCTCAGCCATATTATTCGCTTCTTGCTCTTGACTAGCACCTTACACTCTGATTTCATCTTGTTCTCCATTATCAATCTCAACAGCCTTGACTCTTTCGCTATCCTGATCACTTCTAGGAGATTTTGCTTTCCTGACAAACTTGATCATAGAACCAGATTGAGCTTTATCCTCTTCTTCTTGTCTTTTCTTTTCTTCTTGCTTTGCTTCCGAGCTCCAGACTAATGTCTTGACTTCATTATTCTGAAACTGACAACAATAGTATTAGATATATATGCGAGCACAGGCATAGCCTGATTGGAAACTGCAGTTTCAACTTTCAAACAAAGATTGAAAAGGATGTTTCATGTTTGTAGAAAAAAACTGAAATTGAAATCTAAAAGCTACATACCTATATGAAATCAACAATCAAACGAACATGAATCTCTAAGCTTTTCAAAATCCAGTGTCTCTTTCTTCTCAATGACTCAATCTCTCGTGAGTCTGCGTTTGGGACGAGTGGGACGAGGGTTTGTATTTTCAATTTCTTAATTTTTTTTGAATTAATTTTAGAGGGTTGAGTTTCTACTTTCTAGATTATTCTCCAAGCTAAACACAAAATATGGGCCCTTGAATATTTAGCAGAAACTGAGGCCCTTGAAAATTTAGCAGAAACTGAGGCCCCATTTCAAAGAATTGTTGGAATGGGCTCAGGCCCGGGCCTGATTACAGCGATTGCTAATGAGAACTAAAGGCTGAGAAAGAAGCTGCTGCTAGCAAAAAGAAGACAGGTATATTCATTTTCTTATTCTTGTTCTTGCCTTTCTGCCTATGTTTCTTGCTTTGTAGAACTGTTAGTGTGAAATCATTTTTGCATTCATCAAATTGGTTTTTGATTGATTGATTCTTCAGGTGGGAGGAAGAAACAACTTCAACTAGATAAGGCTGATGACGATCTAGTGGCTGGTCCTTATGACGCCATGGACGATTTCAACTTCATGTAAATTAAGAGAGCTTGTCTATTATTACTTAAAAGAAGCAAAAATTTCTTATTTTCTGAAAATACAGTTGGAACAAGGAAAGATTTTGTTTTCTGAGTTTTTGTTTTTTTTCCTGGCCTGGAGATTTTCTGGAGAGTGCTTTACTTTTTTTTATTGGCCAAAAACATTTATGCTTGAAATTGTTCATATAAATTTTATATTTGAAATTGATGTGAAGAGTGAAAAAACCAAGCATTTTTTTATAAATAAAAAACTAAAGAATTCTAGCCGAAGTCTTTAAATTAAATTAAACAAATAATCAAATCATTCAACAATAATTCAGTGGAAGCAAATAACAGAATTAAATAAATAATTTTAACAACTTAAACAATGCAAAACAATAAAACATCCTATCATCCTTTTCTCCGGCCTTAATTCCGCGATCATATAAACCTTTTACCTGCAACACATTGCGAAAGATTTTAATAAATACTTAGTGAGGCGAGGCGATCACTCTACCTACATGCTAATTACGCAAATACTATGCAATTAAATAATATTAAATAATTCTCTTAATTATTAAAATATTATTTCTCAATTATTAAATAATTCTCATAATTAAATAATAATTTCCTACACTTAAAATAATTTTCATAAATATATTAGACCAATTAATTAATTAAAATACCTATTAATTAATTAAATCCAGAATTAAACCATTAAATTCAATTAAACCAATTAAATTCAATTAAACCAAATTCTGGTGCTTCAAAGAGACCTTTGGCTACTTACTACCTCCCTCAAAGCTTAGTAGTAACCCTCAACGGCTCCTCAAAGTCTACTCAAACACACCCGGAAAACCTACTTTCGTCAAAAGCAAACCACACAAGCACAACAGTTTCACGTCCGGCAAAGAACCCAAGCAAATACCACAACACAAACGACTTTCGCTCAGCCAACCATCTCCTCAGAAGCTACCGTCAGCCCCACTCAAAAAGACATGGCGGGTAGATTCTCTTACGCAGAGAAAGGAAAAGCTATTGCCACGTCACAAGAGAACCTTGGGAGGAAAAGAATCCGAGCACCGGAAATGGATACAGCAGATCTCATACAAGAAAACTCTCTTACGCTCATCGGAAGAATCACCAATCCTAGAGAACAGAGAATCCGCTCCCTCATCCCGTATTTCACCAACCGTTGGGAGGTGAAAGGAGGTTTAGAAGGCTCAGATCTGGGAAACAATTGCTTCCATTTCAGGTTTACCCTGGAGGAAGATCTGAAAAGAATCCTAGCGAACAGACCCTACCAGTTTGCTATATGGATGGTGATAGTACAGAGGTGGAAGCCCATCATCTCACTGGCCTTCCCTTCGCAGATCCCTTTCTAGATCCAACTCAAGGGACTCCCACTCCATTACTGGAAAGAAGAACTCATCTGCAAGATTGGGAGGGAGATAGGAGAGCTCCTCGAGTTTGAGCTCTCGAAGGCAGTTGCAAAAGTCAAGATCTCGGTCAATACCTTGAGCCCGATAGTAAAAGAAACGGAGATTGAGTTCACTACGGGAGAGGTGGCCCTTATTACTCTGGAGTACGAACGCCTGGGACTCCACTGCTCCATCTGTAACAGCCTAGCCCATGAGTACCTGGATTGCCAAGACAGACATAGAGAATCAAACCAAACCCCATCGCGGCACGAGGAAAGCAAATCTAACACGGGGAATAAACTACAATAACAAGTTCCCAAATACCCACGTGAAGAACAGCAAAGAAGGGAGCAAAGAGAAACAGAGCAAAATAATACGGAAATAAGAGATAGACATGGAAATCTGGTGAGAGAGAGGCCCATCTACACAAACAGAGGAAGAGAACCACAACATGGATATGACAGGTACCGCACAACGGCAACAAACATGAGACAAGCCCCAGAACACCACCGAGGAACCAGAGAGTTACCGCGGAAAGAGAGAGAGACGTCCACCACCACCAGGCGGCACGAGACTCAAGTGAGACTCATACTTATACATTCAGACCGGCGAGGAACAATTACCAACTGGAGAACGCCGACACAGCAGAAGCTACCATCCTCCACAACAGTGGCGTGAAAAGAACAGAAGCCACACACCGGAGCGCCAAACATTCTCAATCAAAGTATTATGGGAATGTAAGCGCCTTTTGTGTAAAAAAAAGAATTCAATCAAAGTATTATATAATTACAAATTTGTAAATCTTGGTTTCTTGAAAACCTTCAAATTCTTGAGACGTGAGACGCTGGTAGTAACACCAACGATGGTCAAGTATTTACATTCTGTTGTAATGATTTCTTGTTACAACGGATCTGTTATATCAGCGTTTGTTTCCGGTTTACATCAGTATTAAGAACCGGTTTACGCTAATTACAAACCATAGTCTAATAAAGATACTTTAAATTCTAACAAATTTTACAAAGAAAGGAAAGACCTTTATCGTTCATTGAAGAGAATCGAAGTTCCAGATGCTTCAGCTGTCGCATGTGTCTCCCAATTTTATGAGCATCAGCATTCCCATAAATGTCGATAGCGGTTTTCTCCCCATAGGTATGAGGCACGAACCTCCTCATGTGCTCTAACCTCTCGACCTCGCAAGGATCCATCAAATTCCGTTTTAGAATCTCAAGGTTCTTGCAATTCATACCCACCATTTCGATACACTCACTAGATATTTTGTAACAGCAGCTTATATCAAGTTCCTTTAAGGTTAGGGAAGTGTAAGGCTAGCTATCTCCCACATCGACTTAACCGTAACTTTTGGGCTATACATAACACAAATTACCTCAAGATTAGGACACCTACAAAATAAACCAAATCTAATCAATTCAATCCTCCATGGGATTAAGTGTAAAACATGGCATCTCGAAAATATGACGTACCTCTCAGCCTCTCAGAGTTCCTTTCCTCCGATCGACAACAGAACGGAGGAGAGAGTCAATATTATCCTCGAATTCTGGTCCCCACAACCAGCTGCTCGAACTAGGGAGAGACGGAAATTTATCTTCCATATCGAAGACCAAGTTGAACGACGAGTCATGGCACACGTTCATCCACGTCTTGCAGAACAGCAATGGTCCGGTGGATCTTTGCTCCCTGCTCAGCCGTGAGAATATGTCGATGAGACATTCCAGAGTCAAGTCAGTCCAGTTAGGGCCGAGTACGGATGGACCCGATCCCAACATGTTTTCTTTTTGAAACACCTTGATCTCATCATGTTTGTTTTTCTTTTTTGTGAAACACCTTGATCCCATCATGTTGGAATTTGCTTGTCCCAACTGATGGAAAACGAAGAAGAATCAATTGATTAGGAGTCTAGGGATCGTACGACAAACAAGAAGATGAGTTATATCTTAAAGGTTTAGATATAAATGTATTCGCTTATAGAATTCTTGCTTCTCAAGTTACCTTCTTGATAATTACAGAGCTTGGCTGTTTTGATTCTTTCAAGTAAGAAATTTCGAATAGTCTTCGCCTCAAGGTGAAAAGTCAAATCTCTGTGGACTTGTAAGCCGATAAATGATTCGACGTTCAACCATTTTAGGACATTTACTGTTGGGTGAAATAAATTCACTAACCGATCGCTCGTTAAATTCTATTAGAAGCTGGAGATATGACCGACTTACAACCATGGTGACCGATCGGACTTACCTCAATTTGCCTAAAAGGCCTTAAGCATCGGCATACTTCTATAGCGAGGTACGACCGACGATATTCACTAATGGGCTAGAAATTGTACAAAGGCCAACGTACCTCCTAAAAGCAAATAATGATGAGTGACCAACGTATTCTCATAAGCAAAATACAAAGAGTGACCGACGTACCTCCTAATAGGAAGTTACTATCGACGTCTAAGCCCAACCCAATAAGGGTTAGAATTGATGAACATCTATAAATAGAGATCCTTCAACAATGACAAGGTGAGATTAGATTCTTAAGAACCCTAAGGGTTATACTCTCACCGCTCTTGATGAAGCCATCCCCATACTACAAAACACCAGTAAGATCATCTTCCATCCATATAGGCATTGACAAAGATCGATGGTGTTAAAGGTACCAAGCGACGATCGACCAGTGACAACCAACCTAGGACGATCGACAAACGACAAAGAAATCCCTAATAGCTATATTCTCATCGCCGCCTAACAGCAGCGATAGAGAAATTAGCTACGACAGTCGACCACAAGTAATCGTACATCTACAGAGCTTGGTTCTATATCGACCTTCGACGAACAACCTAAAAAGGTCGAGTTACGATGAACACCTACAAGGGTCTACCTATGACAAGAAAATCGTAGTCGATCTAGGAAGAGTGACCTAAGAGGAGCTACTGATGTACTTGCATTTTACATAGTTTTAGCACATCTTTTATGCATCTTTTGCATAGTTTTAGCTTCCATTTGCATCATATCTTGTTCCTTTTCTCTTCTTATGCATTCATGTTAGTTTTAGGTTGCATTTGCATACATATGCATGTTTGGTCCTTTGAAATAGGTCTTTTGGAGCATTCTGGAGCATATGGGACATGAGGAGCATGGAGGGACTTGGCACATGGAAGCAGCTCAACTGGATACGCAAAGGAAGAAGGGAGAAGCCATCTTGAAGACCAGCTCGACCGTCTACTCGACCAACCGGTCGAGTTCCTCAACTCGACCGGCCAAGCTTCAACTCGATCGAGCTGAGAAGTCAAAGTCAAACCCGAAAAATGTTGCTTCCCCCTTGACTTTCCTTTGACCCTAAACCTAAATCCTCTTGTATTTAAAGGCTCTAAGCCACGAAAAAACCACCAAGCTTTAGATTACTTTTGTTTTAGTTTCTTTTAATTTATTGTCTTTTACTTTTTAGAGCTCTAATCCCATCTTTGTGTTCTTGAAGCTCTTGCTTCTTGAATCTTAGATCCTGGATAATCTCTTTGTATTTGCACTTGCTTATTTCAATAAAAGTTGTTTAATTTCATCTCCTCTTTCTTATGATGTCTCTTTTATTGCATTTGCTTGTGTTTACATTCATGTGTAGTGAGTAGTTACCCATTAGGGTTTGAGATGGGATAGATTAGAGGTTTCATATGCTTAATCCTTCTAGCTTATGGTCTTAATCTAGATTCTCTCTCTTTTGGATAGATCTTAAGGCTACATGACCACTACCCCTGGCTTGTAAGTCCTTAGGCGACTCCCCACACGAAAGTGATGGCATTCGCTGGAAAAGATCCACTAAGAGCTCCAATATCTCTTGCTCTAGACAATAGAGGTCTAAGGGGTTGGATGGATTAGTTTGGGCAATGATCCTATGGCCTCCAAGGTTTGATTCTCACTGGCTAACCCCCTGTTTCTGAGATCATTCCTTGGTTGATAGCCTCCACCTTGGGAAAGGGTTGGCTAGGCATTGAGAAGCCCAATATCAAGAGAAGCCTTGATACAAGGAGTTTTAAGAGCTAGATTGATTAAGTGTAGATTCCTATTGCAAAACCCTGTCTTGAACCCTAATTCTCTCTTTATCTTGTTAAAGTCGTCCTTTATTGCTTTTTCTTCAACTCGACCCTAAACTCGATCGAGCTGGTACTCTGTTCCACTCGACTCGAGTCTTGGTCGAGCTGTTGCTTACTGCTTTGTTTACTTTTATTGCACTGCATTCATTTCATTTTTAGGTTGTTAGTGTTACTTCAAATCTATAACTGCTTGCTTGACTTCTTGTTTCATATTCTCATAGAGTGACAAGTTTCCCATTTTGGATTGATAACCTCTTATACTTAATGACTATGATGGTTAAGAGGAATTGTTGACTGTGTTTGTGTTTGCATCTACCATCATCATTTACCACTGTTTGCATTCCACCCATCTCATTTCATATCATTTCACATCCACACACAAATCCTATCATCAATTTGGCGCCGTTGCCGATTTGGGAATATTTTTGTTGCATTTGAGTTTCAAACACACTTGGACGATCAAGCTATACCACCCCTGTTCTATTGTACTGCTGGGTTTTTGTCTCTTTTTGCAGGTGTATGCGAACTCGATCGAGTCGGTCTAACTGAAGACTTGGTCGAGCTAGACATTACAACGGGTAGAAAGAGGGTTCAGAGGTCACAGAGGGTACAAGAGGAACCTGAGGTGCTTGTTGCTGATACAATGGATGTACCAGAGGGGAATGGAAACCCTTTGGGCAATGGACTCGGTCGAGCTAGGCAAACTCGACCGATTGGTCAAGGAGATGCTCCAAACCGCCACCAACAGAGACAAGGGATTGTTCCACCACCAGTGCAGAACCACAACTTTGAGATCAAGCTGGGAATGATCAACCTTGTCCAGAACAAGATGTTCCATGGATTGCCAAGTGAAGACCCCATTGACCACCTTGATGAGTTTGATAGGCTTTGTGATTTGACAAAGATCAATGGTGTCTCTGAAGATGCCATCAAGCTGAGACTCTTTCCTATGTCTCTAGCTGACAAAGCTCACCAATGGGAGAAGAGCTTGCCCCATGGCACAATCACCACTTGGGATGAATGCAAGAAGGCCTTTCTTGCTAAGTTTTTCTCCACCGGTCGCACAGCCAAGCTTAGAGGAGAGATATCCAGCTTCATCCAGCGAAACAATGAGACATTCGCAGAGGCTTGGGAGAGGTTCAAAGGCTACACAAGTCAGTGCCCACACCATGGATTCAACAATGAATCACTACTCTCCACTCTTTATAGAGGATGCTTGCCTAGGTATAGGGAGATGCTAGACACAGCTAGCAATGGGAACTTCCTCAACCAGGATGTAGATGATGGCTGGCAACTTGTGGAGAACATAGCTAACTCAAATGGAAGCTATGGAGAAGAGTATGATCGCACCAACCGGAGCTCGACCCACCACTCGATCGAGTCAGACGAAAAGTTGAGAAAAGATGTTAAGGCATTGAATGAGAAGTTGGATAAGCTGATCCTAGCTCAGTCCACAATGAAGAAAGTCAACTTTGTGTCTGCTGAGGAGATGGAACCAGTCCAAGAAGGGGAGGATACACAATTTGCTGAGGTGTGCTACATGAGCAATGGGCAAGGAGGTTACAACAAAGGATACTATAACTACAAGTCCAACCCTGCCATGTCATACCGCAACACTGATGTTGCTAACCCTCAGGACCAAGTATATCCTCAACAACAAGCAGCTCGATCGAGTCAGGTGCCACAACATGGGTATGGTCAAAAGAACAATTACCAAGGACCACAAGGCACTTTCCCTGGACAACAAATGAATATCCCACCAGGCTTCCCCACCAACCACCCCAGCCTGCACCTTCACAAGAGAATGAGCTCAAGGCAATGCTAAAGCAACTACTTCAAGGGCAAGCTGATGGGGTAGTGGACACAAGCAAGAAGCTAGCTGAAATAAACTCTAAGATCGAGAACCTCAACACAAGGGTTTACTCTCTGGAGAATCATGCTTCTTCTGTTGCTGCTGCTACAAAGCAAGGACAACTACCTGGTAAAGCTATTCAGAACCCCAAGGAACAGTGCAAGGTCATCTTCACTCAAGAAGGACTTGTTGAAGAAGAGGATCAAGAAAGGGTCATTGAAGATTTTTGTTTACTGCTGAATGATGAAGAGATTGTTGCTGCTGAGGCTCCTGGAGTCCAGATTGATCAACCAGAAGTGCATGCACCTACTGTGGCCATTCACACTTCACCAGTTGAGCTCGCACGACAAGCTCGATCGGCAGCTCGATCGAGTCCAACTCTAGCTCGATCGAGTCCGACCTCTTCTGTCCGACAACCTTTTTGCTTGATCCTTACAACCGGTTGCCGCTTCCTCGTCTCGCCTACTTAGTCAAGGTCACAAGGAAGTGATTCACAAGTTCAGAAGAGATCTCAGTGGGATTGGAATTGAGTTGCCTCCTATGGATAGCATGAGTGAGGCATTTGATCAAATGCAAATGGTCAAGGATGTTCTAGCCAACAGTGATAAAGTTTCAGAGGTCCTACAAGAGTCTACTCATCAGTTCAACCTGCTTACTTCACCCACCTTCCTACCAAAGGTCAAGGATCAAGGGAAATTCACTCTCCCTTGCACACTTGGGCATCTTGAGATTGACAATGCCTTAGTGGATTCTGGAGCAAGCATCAATCTGATCTCTCTCTCCATGGCAGAGAAGCTAGGCATTGCTGGAGCCTTGCAGCGCCCTACTACTTCAATCATGTTTGGAGATGCAACTTCTAAGTCTCCTCTTGGAGTGTTCAAGAACTATCACTTGAAAATTGGAGAATGCATCATCCAAACTGATCTCACTGTGATGGAAATGGAAGAAGAGAAGGATTTGCCTCTGTTATTGGGAACCCCTTTCCTTAGTACAGTTGGCGCTTCAATAGACTTTCACAAGCAAGAAGTGATCCTTCACAAGGTGAATAGTTTGGTGTCATATCGCTTGCAGCCTAGAGGTTCAGACTTTTGTGCCACAATTGACAGTACCAATCTCAGTTCTAAGAGTCATGGAGCTACAAAGGTTGTGAAGGAAAGGGTTGACAAAGAACCAAGAGTTGGGAAGGATAAGGATGAGAGAGGACCAAGGATTGAGAAGCCACGTCTTGAGAGGGCTAGAGTTGAGAAACCACGATCTGATAGGCCACGAGCTGATAGACTTGTTCAAGCCCCTTGTGTGCTTGATGAAGAGAGCCTTCAAGCTTTGTTTGATGAGCCACTAGGAAGGGCTCTAAAAGAAGGGGAGGATGTAGCCTCTAAGGCAAGACCAGGGATAAAAGAAAGGATCCACCAGCTCAGGCCCCTTCATCAAGCCATCTCAGCTCACAATGACTTTGTTCCCCACCAAGTTTGAAAATGGGAAGATTGAGTACAAGATAAGGTACAAGGGGAGATCAAGGCCATTCTCTAGAGCCAAGGCCTTGGTGACTTCAGAACAGTCCAGGGACCCAACCAAGCTAAAGGAGCTTCTGTCTCAAGTCCTCACTATCACCCTTGATGGTGGGACTAGCTCAACCAATGCCTAAGAAGGTAAAGGTCAAGCTATGGGACCTTAAACAAGCTCACTTGGGAGGAAGTCCCATGTTTATCCTTGTACATACTCTATTTATGCAATTTCTATCTATCTTTATGTTTTAACCTTTCAATAAGTTAAGTTTAGGTGTCAAAGGAGCCAGCTCGACCGACAGCTCGATCGAGCTAGAAACCAGGGCAACTCGATCGAGTTCCACAACTCGACCAAGGTAAGTTTTTGAATTTCAAATTCATAACCGTTTTCTTGGTCAAGGGAGTGGGTCCCACAAGCTGATTTTGGTCCCCCACTACCCTAATTTGATCAGAGAATCCCTAGCTTTTGTTCCCCTTTATTTCACTTTTAATCTCAACCACACATCTCAAACACCCTCTTCCCCATAACTCGATCGAATCCACTCTCTCTCTCCCACAATCTAAAATTTCTGAAATCATCCATCTCTCTCTTCACCACAAGAAATCGATTTCAATCTCTCTCTTAAGTTTTTGCGATTTCTCTTTGCTTTTTCTCAATTCGTTTAGTTCTAGCTTACTGTTCTTCAATCATCATTCAAGCAAGGAACCCAACTTCAAGAAGCAACCAGTTTAAGATGTTGAGAGGTGAAGGAAGCAAGGCAGCGTTCACAAAGAGGAGATAACAAGAGGAGCAAGGAGAATGCAAGACACTAACCAAGGAGATGAGGAAGAGATTGAGAGGTTGAGGGAAGAGAGAAGGACCAAGAGAGGAATGACCCTCAGCAGTGAGAGTGAAGGGAGAATTTGAGATTGGGTGAACATGGAAGGGAGAGAGTGATGACTCTTCAAAGAGGAAGGAGAAGAGGTGAATCAAGAGATTGAGGAGAGTGAGCATGAGAGCAATGAGAATGTGCCCATGGAGAGGAGGAGTCAGAGGAAGAAGAGGATGAGCTCCCCATGTACCAAGAGCACTACAATGCTCTCTTCTCCATGGACTTTGTGGAGACCAAGTACCCACATGATGACACAATGAGGCCCTTGGATCTTTGAGGATGTGGAGCTAGTCTCAAGAACATGCGCTTGGCCAAGTTCTTCTCTTACCGCATGGAGTCATACAAGGAGCTCACTTGTGAGTTTTTGGCTCAATGAGGTACCACAAGTACAAGAGCTCGATCGAGCTGAGTTGGACCAAGGTTGGGGATGGATCACGTTCTTGGCAAGGGGAGAAAGAAGGTGACCTTTAGGCAGCTTGGAGATCTTTTGGTTTCACTATGGAGAGGGAACCCATTGGGAATCAAGGAAGGATGAGCTCCAAAGGGTTTGGGCTACAATCGCTGAGGAGGTACTCTTCCTCAAGGTCCAAAGGCTGCTCAGATCAGGAGCCCAGTGCTTGAGATATGTGCACAAGGCACTTGCCAACACCTTCTTTGCAAGGAAGGCACTGGGACAATCAATGAAGGAGGTGAAGCTCCTTGACATGGGAATCAAGCCCATCATCTCACGCACAAGGATGGGAAGAATCAGAGGAGATAGATCCTGCAGGGAATTCATGCCTCTCCTTGACCAGCTCTCTCCTACAAGACAAGCCTATACACTAGGTCAAAGGGAAGAAGCTTAGTGTTGGAGGGTCATCACACCTATCTTGTGCAGCTGGAGTCCATGACAAGAGAAGGTCTACTCCAGCAGGATGGATGGACATCAAGTTTTGCAAGACCAACCTCCTCATTGAGCACAAGGAGTTGGATGGGAGGTTCCAATTCAAGTTCACACATCCATTGGCTGGCCCTTCCAAGCTTCTTCTGCCCAACCCTGAGCTCACCACAGGTTCTAGGGGTAGAACATTGACTTCAGACCCCCTGTGTACACATTAGTTGGGCATGAAGAGATTTGCGAGAAGAGGAGCCTGAACTCGATCGAGCTGAGGATCGAGCTGAGGACAAGCTCAGGAATGCGGATTTGGGTGAGCCTGAGTGCTATTATTTTGAGGAGTATGAGGCTCCAAGGATGAACCCCTCTGTTGTGGCTGCCCACAAGAGGATTGGACTTCTCCAAAGGTTCAACAAGTGGCAAGGGAAAGCCATGGAAAGATGCAAAAGTCCATGGACAAGATGGTGAGCAAGATCAAGAGTTTGGAGAAGAAGGTTTCTGGTTCTTCATCAAGAAGAAGAAGGCAACCATGGCCCCCACTTCCCTAGGAGTAGATCACTCCTCACCACCCAAGGAGGCTCCCTGCCCAAGAGCCTCACAGAGCCTCTTCATTCGAGCCAAGGGAAGGAGAAGACAACACAGAGAAGGAGGAAGAGTTCCAAGGCCAGACGCTCCAGCTCGACCACCGGACTCGATCGAGTCCAAACAGAGGAAACTCAACTCGATCGAGCTGAGGGTCGAGTTGACCTGGAGGAGCCCCTGTTTGAGAACCCGGATTCGAGTACGATCCAACGCCTACCAAGGACTTCTCTCAGAGCCATGGACCCCTATACAACCGTTCGAGCAGCCAGCTCCACCAAGGCCAAGGAAGCCACACACTTCGATGAAGAAGAGGAAGAAGAGGAGCCGCAAGCTCGATCGAGTGAGGAACCCGTCGAGTGGAGCTCCTGATGGCCGTCTACCCTCTCCAGACCACGACCTTGCCTCCCAGTTCTTTGGGGGGCACTGAGGTATCCAAACACCAACCCTTGTATATACCATTTCATATTTTCTTGCATTTGTTTTTTTTTTCTTGGTTTTGCCCTCTTGAATCTTTCACTAAATTTCTCTCACACAAGGGACTGTGTGATTTAAGTTTGGGGGAGGGTTCAAGAGATGATTTAACCTTGTTTTCTTTGTTCTTAGTTTTTCATTCTCTTTTGCATAGAAAAACCAAAAAAATCATAAAATTTTCAAAAAATCCAAAAATATTTTCATCTTTTTGCATTCATATTTGTTAGATTGTTTAGGATTGCATCTTTCACTTGCATTGTTGATTTGACTTTGAAAACTTGTTCATCATTTGCGATTTCTTGAGTGCCCTGTTTTTAGATTCTTTTGTGCATTAGGGTGAGATTGATTGAGCAGCAAGAACCATGTTTATCTTGATCATATCACTGCATGCACATCTCATTCAACCATTGCTGTGATTTGATGCATTTCCCTATCTATTTGAACCATAACTTGATCTTTAATTACCAATGCTTGCATTTGATTTCAACTCATGGCTACCACATACATATCTGGACATTCTTTACCTATTTTCATATCCCTCTTGCTTGTCCAGATAGCTGATCTCCATCTTTGAGACAGTTACCACACCTTAAACCTAAGCCTTTTCATTTCAAACCCCATATTATCTCTTGTGCGAATGTGAGAACCTTTCTTGGCTTTGCTTAGCATAAGGTGTTGTGTTTAAACCGGCAGGGGCAGTAGTTCTAGTTGTCTAGTTCTCTTGGGATTGTTTTCAGGCTAAGTTTGGGGGTGCCAACTCGAGCTCGATCGAGTTGGGTGTAAAAACCAGAAAAGTGGTAAAAGTTGGGAAAATCCAAAGGAAAAAGAGTTTAGTTAAGTCCAGGGAGTTGGCAGTGTTAAAAAGGGTCTAGTAAAGGTTTGGGAAGTTAAAAAAGGAAGTAAAAAGGGTTCTAAGTAGAATGAAAAGAAGGCAAAGCCTCAAGTGTCAAAAAGAAAGAAAAGTTCCCTAAGTGTTTAGAAAATCCCAAACCGCTAGATGTTACCTCAAGAAGCCTCTCCCTAGGAAGTTCTTAAAAGAAAAGTGAGCAAAGCTCCTCAGTTTCAAAGGCGAAATGCCAAAAAGGGTAGTTAGGATTTTGTTCTAAAAAGCTCTAAGTGTTGAACTCGATCGAGTTAGGATTAGACGGCTCGAGCTGCTGTTCTTGCATCATCTTTGGTTCTAACACTTAGCCTTCTGCCAAAGCAAAGCCACTTTCTTGAGAGATCCCTGTTACTAAACCACCATACAAAAGAGACCCTCTTTGTCTCTTAACCCATAAACCCTTGAAACCAAATGAGTTGATTGATCTTGCATGTTTTTGGTTCACTGTTTTTGCTTAATGAATGTTAAAGGGATTTGCTGATTTGAATGCATTGTTTGAGTGACTGTGAAGTGGGATTGATGTTGATAAGCATGGTTAAATCTTAATGAATATCTCTCACCTTGTTGCATTCTAGAATCTCTAAGTTGGACATTTAGCAAATCGCTTTTGAGGACATGTTTTTAAGTGTTGAATCAACTTGTTTTCAAACCTCATCTCTTTCTTGTTCTATTTGTTTGCTTGAGGGCAAGCAAAGGTCAAGTTTGGGGGTGTTGATGTACTTGCATTTTACATAGTTTTAGTACATCTTTTATGCATCTTTTGCATAGTTTTAGCATCCATTAGCATCATATCTTGTTCCTTTTCTCTTCTTATGCATTCATGTAGTTTTAGGTTGCATTTGCATACATATGCATGTTTGGTCCTTTGAAATAGGTCTTTTGGAGCATTCTGGAGCATATGGGACATGAGGAGCATGGAAGGGACTTGGTGCATGGACGCAGCTCAACTGGATACGCAAAGGAAGAAGGAGGAAGCCATCTTGAAGACCAGCTCGACCATCTACTCGACCAACCGGTCGAGTTCCTCAACTCGACCGGCCAAGCTTCAACTCGATCGAGCTGAGAAGTCAAAGTCAAACCCGAAAAATGTTGCTTCCCCCTTGACTTTCCTTTGACCCTAAACCTAATCCTCTTGTATTTAAGGCTAAAAGCCACGAAAAAACCACCAAGCTTTAGATTACTTTTGTTTTAGTTTCTTTTAATTATTGTCTTTTACTTTTTAGAGCTCTAATCCCATCTTTGTGTTCTTGAAGCTCTTGCTTCTTGAATCCTAGATCCTGGATAATCTCTTTGTATTTGCACTTGCTTATTTCAATAAAAGTTGTTTATTTCATCTCCTCTTTCTTATGATGTCTCTTTTATTGCATTTGCTTGTGTTTACATTCATGTGTAGTGAGTAGTTACCCATTAGGGTTTGAGATGGGATAGATTAGGGTTTCATATGCTTAATCCTTCTTGCTTATGGTCTTAATCTAGATTCTCTCTCTTTTGGATAATCTTAAGGCTACATGACCACTACCCCTGGCTTGTATGTCCATTAGGCGATTCTCCACATGGAAGTGATGGAAATCGCTGGAAAAGATCCACTAAGAGCTCCAATAACTCTTGCTCTAGAAATGGTTAAGGGGTTGGATGGATTAGTTTGGGCAATGATCCTATGGCCTCCAAGGTTTGATTCTCACTGGCTAACCCCCTGTTTCTGAGATCATTCCTTGGTTGATAGCCTCCACCTTGGGAAAGGGTTGGCTAGGCATTGAGAAGCCCAATATCAAGAGAAGCCTTGATACAAGGAGTTTTAAGAGCAGATGATTAAGTGTAGCTTCCTATTGCAAAACCCTGTCTTGAACCCTAATTCTCGCATTAGCTTGTTAAAGTCGCTGCCTTTATTGCTTTTTACTCAACTCGACCCTAAACTCGATCGAGCTCGGTACTCTGTTCCACTCGACTCGAGTCCTTGGTCGAGCTGTTGCTTTACTGCTTTTTTTATTCTGCATTGCATTTCATTTCTTAGGTTGTTAGTGTTACCCCATATCTATTACTGCTTGCTTGACTTCCTTGTTTTTCATATTCTCATAGAGTGACAATTTCCCCATTTTGGATTGATACCCTTTATGCTATAACAACTATCATGGTTAAAGGGAATTGTTGACTGTGTTTGTGTTTGCATCTTACCACCTCATCATATACCACTGTTGCATTCCACCACATCTCATTTCATATCTTTCACACCCACACACAAATCCTATCATCAGCTACCTACAGGCAGAGATCTTCGATTGTACTAAAGGTACCAAACAATGATCGATCAATGACAATCGACCTATACTTCAACAAAGCTTGGTTCTAGATCCACCTACGACGAGCGACCTACACAAGGGTTGACCAAAAATAAGCAATAAAGCATAGAAAACCCCAGTACCTACTGACTCTTCACCTCTCGACAAGCAGCGACAAATAACCTAGCTAAGACGAGCGATAGACAAGATTCTTTTAAATTATTCTTTGATATTGACTTATTGTAACTAGATATTCCATTGATTAACAAGATATCTTCTCCTGCATCATTCTATTTATTGTACTTGCGAACCGGTTAAATTTTGCCTAAACAGTTTACAAATCTCAACTATAATACATGCTTCCAAGTACTATTCTGAAGATTTGATTTCACTAAAAAATCATTAAAAATTCCCTAAATTCATATTTGATCATTAAAGTTTATCTAAAAATTTATAAAAAGAAAAGCAGTACTATAAATCCAATATGGAATAGATCTCCTAGTAAAAAGTTGGTTTGTTCTAGCAGTTTTATTTTTGAAAAATACAGTGTGATTTTTTATTATTAAGTACTCCCTCCGTTTCTTTTTAATGATAAATGTTTTAACTTTTTGATACACTTTTTTTCATTTTTCAAAAAAAAAATTATTGTATACTTTTTGAATTCTTATTGGTTTAAATTTATAGAAACTGTTTAATTACAATAGTACTAGGTGGTTGGCCCGCACCTTGTGCAGGCATAACATTTTTAAAATAATAAATTTAATCTAATATTTAATTATATAAGTATTACTCCCTCTATCTTATATTATAAGCAGTTTGGGAAAATGTATCTGAAATTATGTGGATGTATCTGGACTCAAAAGACATCCAAATACATCCAGATAATTGCATATACATTTTTCTAAACTGCTTATAATATAGGACAGAGGGAATATAATTTAAGATGATTGACTTTTAAACTTATATACATATATACAAAGCTAATATGATAAAATCAATTAAGTTTCATTACGAGTTATTATATATTATATCAGTTAATTTTATATATTTTATATATTTTGTATTTTTTAAATATTTTATTATGTTTTATTTTATTTAAGTGCACAAAACCATATCAATTATTTTAAATTTTTTTTTTTTTCTTTAACGGATTTGTGTTCTTATTCTTCATAATTTTTATCTTTCGATTTTTCTAACATTTTTTTGTTGTTATATTCTTCAATTGTTTTTTTTATTTTTTTGTCAAAAAAATAAATAGATTAGATGAGGAAAGAGGAAAAAAAACCATAACTTCACTAACCTTCCCCAAAACAACCCTACACTTTAAACCCAAATTCACATTATAATCACCTCCCTAAACTGCACAACTGAACCCCACATTACAATTTGTTCTGGATTTTCTTTTACTTTTTTTTTTAATTGGTAATATACACCCATCACTATAATTCATTCATCGTAATCCCCAACCCCATTTTATCTTCTTATTGTTTTACTTTGTCTTCTATTTTTTTCATACTTTTTTTCTTCATTTTCTAACATTTTTGTCTATTCTTATCCAATTTTTTAATGTATTTTTCTATTTATTTTTCTTCATTATCATCTTTTTATTTCCTGGGTTTTATTCGTTTTATTCATTTTATTTAAAATTTCTTTTTCAAATGGCTTTATATTTTCAACATCTTCTTCAATTTTTGTTTTTTCTTTCGTTTCTCTGTCTTCGTCTTCCAACTCCCCCCACTCCGATCATGTTTGAGAAATACAAAAGATTTCCCACTTGTTATTTTTTCCCCTCTTATTCTTCTCCAATTATCACATATTCTTCTATTTCTTTCAACTTTATATTCGTTCTCATCATCTTTTCTTTTTTTTCTTCCAATTTTTGTTTTTCAATCTTTTTTGTGTATTTATATCCTCCAACTCATAATTCTTCTTTCTCATTATAATCAATGATTTTTAATTATGAAATTCTTTCATAATAATTCAAATTTTTAAAAATGCACCAAAAATAAACCCTAAAATCAATATAAACCATACACCCTAAACCCAAATTGTAACATCACTCTGAAACAACCAACATTTTTTTTTTTTTAAATATTAATCAATTCTAGCGAAGGTCTTAAAAATAAATTAAATAAATAAAATATCAATAACAAATAAATCAGCTCAGCGGAAGCAAATAATAATTAAACAAGTCTAGCAAAATAATGCAAAACAATAAAACAGTAAACATCCTATCATCCCCCTCTTCAGCCTTGATTCCGCGATCACACAAATCTTTTACCTGCAACACATTGGAATGGAGTTGCGTAAGTATTTAATAAATACTTAGTGAGGCAATCACTCTGCCTACGAGCCATTTACGCAATTTACTAGATATTTAATAATATTTATAAACTCCAATAATTATTAAATACCATTTTCCAATTATTAAATAATTTTTAATAATTAAAACTCAATTTCTCAATTATTAAATAATTCTCATAATTAAATAATAATTTTCCATATTTTAAAATTTATTTTTAAACCAATTAATTAAATCCGAATTAAATCTATTTAATTCATTAAACCAATTAAATTCAATTAAACCAATATAAACCAATTAAATTCAATTGAACCAAGATAAACCAGAATCAAATCAATTAAATTCAATTAAACCAGATTAAACCACACAAACACACAATTCATCACATAAACAACCAAAATATCATAAATAACAATTAAAACATAAACTCATCAAGAACAACCACAAACCAAATCTAATCTAGCAAATCACGGACCCACAGTCATGCACTCACCTTGACAATAGATTGAAACTGAAGGAAAACAATGAACAGTGCGAATCGCGATGAACAGTAACCCGATGAACAGTACCGATGAACAGTAACCCGATGAACAGTACCCGATGAACAATACCGATGAACAGTGCCGATGAACAGTAAAATTCGAAAATCTCTCCAAAAACTCAACTTTTCTCCTCTACAGCATCTGAACTCGAAAATTCTCCAAAGAGAAGACGGCTGCACTCTTTAAACTTGATTTTAGGGCTTTCTCCACTAAACCGACCCAAACCAATTCACTTAAATTGAACCGACAAAATTCCCAATTTTTATTTTTGGTTTATGGATGTTACAACTCTCCCCCACTAAACTGGATTCGTCCTCGAATCCCAACAAACGTCACAAAGACCACAAACCCAACCTCGCAAGGCCGCAACACCGGAGATCCTCACTTGATCCCCGAGACAAACGTCATATCTTATGTCATAAACACGTTCCAAGAAAATTTTACTCTTAACTCATCACCTCAAACCACTTGTACTGGGGCCACTACACCCAGACAAGTCACCTACCCAAACTGGGGCCACTACACCCAGGGGCTTGCCAACCGCTGCTTATACTGGGGCCCTACACCCAAATAAGTCAGCCACGACTTATACTGAGGCCACTACACTCATATAAGTCACTCATACTGAGGCCACTACACTCAGATGAGTCTGCCAGAGAACCACTGTCTCCAAAACATGTAATGAGTTATTCAGGATCGCAATCCTTAGAGTAAAAATTCCAAGACGTCTATAACAATAGAATTAGAACCGTCTCACGACCAACTGGTCAAACACTGTAACATCCGAAATACCAAAACAACACAAGGCAAAATGAGGAAAACTGCATCTCATAAAACTCCAAAATGTAAATCGTTACAACGAAAACGAAAATACAATAACACCAAAGCCAAAAATAACAACTGAGGCTACAAAGATGAAATAAGCTCACTCCTCGACCTGCTTGTCGAACCACTTCCTGAACTTCAACTTCATCTTTGCCTCTGGCTCCCAAGTCTCCTCTGTAGAACCACTGCAATCCCACAAAATCCTCAGTAAGGGAATCCTCTTGTTCCTCAGAACCTTTTCCCTCCTCTCTAAAATCCTCACAGGCACTGCCGGCACTGTCAAATCTGGCTAAGATCCTCTGGAATCCTAGCCACTAACTCCTCTGTAGGGTGAAGACACTTCCTCAGCATCGACACATGAAAAACCTTGTGAAAGGCTTTCATAATCTA